GTCCTTTCCCAATCCGACTAGTGTCTCCTCTTCATAACATGGACGGGCTCTTTCTTTCAAGCCAGGAATCTCTCTCACGTATATATCCACGCTCGTCTTTCCCATGGAGTCGAGGAAGAGCTTGAGGTACTTTTTCTTCTGGTGGTCCATGCTCTTAAGGTGGAGCTTGTCGCGGTGGATCGGGCCTATCGCCACGGTCATCGGATCGTAGGCCTTCTCGTTGATGCTTCGGAGATTGTCTCCCACCCTGTGAATTGACGGAATTGCCCTTGACGACGTTGAAGACAAGTCGTCGACCATCTTGTCGATTAAAACAGTGAGTTCGTCGTCATTTCCTCTTTTCACCAACATTTTTATTCCTCGATTTAAGTTCATAATAATGCTCTGAACAGCCAAAATCTTGATTTAGGACAAGGAAAAAAATGTCAATAAACTGTTAGCTGGTTCAGGAAAGTTTTTTTTTTTTTTTTTTTTTCTAGTGAAGTATCAAAATACAGACACAATGTAAATATGGGATTAGAAAAGTCTTTGAGTGTCCCTAAAAAAAGAGAAATAATAATAATAATAATAATAATAATAATAATAATAATAATAATAATAATAATAATAATAATAATAATAATAATAATAATAATAATAATAATAATAATAATAATAATAATAATAATAATAATAATAATAATAATAATAATAATAATAATAATAATAATAATAATAATAATAATAATAATAATAATAATAATAATAATAATAATAATAATAATAATTAAAAAAAATATAGATGTAGTGAATTACGATTGTGCTAGCCGAGATTTGATGTTAAAATAATTAGAAAAAAATAGCTGCAAAATAAGAGATAAAAAATATATTTAGACATAAATTAATTCATTTTTACAAATATGACATTAGGGTTTCTTAGGTTACCCTAGCGTTTCTTTCTTTTATATATAAGATATCAATATAATCTCCAATATTGAAAAATATAAAGTATTGAATCAATGCAATATATAAACAAACGTTGACTTAATACAAATTCACTTATGTTATTAAAATCGATAGTGTGAAAAAATCGAATGAAAAATAAAATAAGATGTTTATTAAAAAAAAAGGTTATAACTCATTTCAATTAATTTAAATTGATTAACCTCAATTGTTGACAAGAACTTATTAAAATTATTGATTATTTTATCATAAGATAATTATTTAAAAATATAGATGATGTTTATTTTAACAAAAATAGATTATATCTCATTATAATTAATTTTTTACCTTAAAAATAAAACCATATATGACGAGTATAATCAAAATATTATGATGTGATTTCTCTTTTAATAATTGGTTTAATTTGTAAAAATCGTAGGTCATATGATTTAATCGTTTTTCTTACATTTACATTTTATTCAAATATTAGAATCGAATCGTAAGATTTAAATGACTTAAGCTCAAGTCCTTTCAATTTCTTTTATTTTTTTATTATATTATATTTGTTTATAATTTAATTAAAATTATTTAATAATAATGAATACCCATAACAATAATGAATACCTATAAAAATATTAGTTTCACTTATAAATACCCATAATTCAATTTTCACAACTTTCTTTTTATTTAGTTTATGTCTCAAAGTCTTAATCGTTTCATTTTTTTTTTGAAATTGTTTAGTGTTTAAATTCAATTATTTTTTTCATTTTGAATTTAAAGTTAATCTTATGTTTTTTCAAGTTTCAATATAAGTTTTTTTTTTCTTTCTTGTATAAAGAAAAAAAAATTTGGAAAACCGGGTGGACCCGGATCCGGACCCACCTCCCCGCGGGTCGGTTTCGGGTCCCCTAAACGTCGGACCTAGACCCGCCCCGCCCCGTGGCCATAATAGAATATATATATATATATATATATATATATATATATATATATATATATATATTGGTGTTAGAAAAAGTAAATAAAAAAGTTTCTTATTTTTTTGGAAGAAGCAACAAATGTTGGCAACTTGTCTTTGGTTTTGTTTATGCCCAAACTTTCCACATTTTCCCACATTTTTATGCTGCCAGCAAACTAATTTTCAATTAATTGAATTGTCTTCATGAGAACAAAAAAAAAAAGAGCGAATTTTATTCTCTTTGAAATAAAAAAACCCACCATCTTGGAAATTGTTTCTATCTACTATTGGTTATTTTTCTACTTTATAAGGGTTTAATTCTACTTTGCACATTTGAAATATAATATTTTGGCACTTTGCACCCTCGAAATACGTAATAGCATTTTGTATCCTCGAAACACAAAAAAATCATTCACAATGCGGCCTGAATTGACATTTTTCAAACTTAATGAGGACAATTTTATGTTTCAAAAATATAATTGTTAAATACTCCCTCTGTCCCATATTATATGTCTTTTTAGAGAGTTTTTCTTGTCCCAAATTATTTGTCATTTTAGATTTTCAATGCATCATTAATTGCATTATTTTCAATTTTACCCTTTATCACTCCTAATCAGTTAGTTGTAAAACAATTAATGTCAATGATATATTAGTATTTTCCTATGCTTTTTACTATAATCTATACACATTTATTGATTTTCTTAATATGTGTGCAACAACCCAAAACGTCATTTAAATTGGGACGGAGGGAGTACATTAATGAAATGTATTTTTGCGCTACGTAGTTTCAAAAGGATTGATGAACATAAATTTTTTGATTCAACATGTGCATCCTAAAAAAATATCACTATAGATATTAAATTACCTTCATGAATCTAAAAATTCGTTCGGGGTGCATTGTACATGATTATTGTGTTTTGATGTTGTAAAATGATATTACTGTTTATTAGGGTGTAAACTGTAAAGTACGAAAATGATATATTTTAAAGGTGCAAATTGAGATTAAGTCATTCTTTAAGTTTCTTGAAAAAAATAAAGTGGTAGGGAATAGGGATATATATTATTGCAAGGATGAGGAATATACTTGGGATTTCTCGAGAAAAAGTAGAGATGATAAGTTGATAGATTGCTTTCCTTTTAGCATCTCCCTTTGTTTTTTGGGCCTTAGCTAGACATGACCACGGTTACGATTAAAACTGGAATCGAATCTCGGTTAATAATTTTTAATCGGAACCAAACCGCTTTGACCAAATTTAGAACCGAAATTGGAACTGAAAAAATCAGTTCGGTTTCCGTTCCCTATTTTTGTAACAGCTAACCGCCAGTTAGAACCGCGATTAGAATCGGTCTAAAAATATTAGATGTATTTGTGCATACAGTTAGTATAAAATTATTGAGAAATGTAACTAGACCGACATTTAATGATAAGTTTGTGCATGCTAGATGCATTTGTCATGTTTTAAACTTATGTGTTCAAGATGGATGAAAAATACTTGCAAATCAACTTGCACCAATTCGAATAATGATAAGGTTTTTATGGAAAAATTCCTCGGCTAAAAAACAAATGGTGTCTGTTTTGTAAAAAGAATGGGAGACATCCGATTTTTTTTTAAAAGATGCTACA